GAAGTTAGTGAATTAAGTTTAGTGAAAAACGTGCAGTATTTGCAGCAACGAAATTTAGAGAATTAACTGTTCGAAATACTCATTCCTATCAATATACTTTATATTAACTTCTCAAACAGGACAGTGCAGAAAGCAGACAAAACTGTTGGTTTCTGGTTCTGCTGGCCCTTTCAGGCTCATCAGTGTGACCCAGATTCCAGAGAGGAAGATGAATCTAATGCAGTTAGAAGCTATATTGAATCAAGTACCGCCCTGCATAATCCTTTTAGTAAGGCAGGAAGTCAAACTTTAGAACCTGATCAATTCAGAAAAAGTTTGTTGTGCGGGTGTATGCATGAGGAAGTGTGAATGGGTGTATACCAGACAGAATAGGACTCAAGTCAGGTCTAGTGTTACTGTCTGCCACACTGTGCTGAGTGCCATCATTATACACTTTCAGACTTGATTCAACATATTTTAGGAAGTGATATGGATTACCAAAAGGATTTTGGAATATTGGTAGATAAACCTGTTGACAGTTTCATTACTGTATGAAATTTAAGTACTGTATTTTTTTTTTGTAATACTATGTATGGATCACTACAACTTTCCATTGTTAATCTGTAATCTGTAAGCCAATTGGGAACATGCAATAGTCAAAGGTTCAGTACTGTCCACTCAGCATTGACATGTGTATCACATTATATTTTGACATCATATTTTGTGGATCTTTAACAGCCAAACCGTTGTCTTCTCGAAGAGTGAGCATGCTGACCACACCCTGCCCTCCAGATCTGGATGGCCTCTTAGAAGCGGTCACCATGCAGGTTAAAAAGAAGGCTCGGGGAGTGATGGCACCTTTGGCTTGTATTCAGGCGGTGCGGGCAGCCGCTACAATGCCTTACAGCAAGGGAATAAAGCGGGAGAGTGAACTGATGGCCACTCTTTTCAACTCTGGGCAGGCCCGGGCTCTTCAGTACTGTTTCTTTGCTCAGAGGACTGCTGGGAAATGGACTCTACCCAGTGGAGCGCAATGGAACAACAGCAAACCCAGAGAGATCCGGAGTGCAGCCATCATAGGTATCAAAAGAGAATGTCTTCATGTGCATGAACAAGACCTGGGTATGGTACCAGGATTATTATTGTTAACTAAAACTATTAAAACATTAATGTTAGTTTGAATAAAGCTGAAATAAAATATAAATATTCGATTAAAAACTTGGCCTTGGCAACTGACTGCAATAAGTTGAAGCACTAAAATTACTAAATGAGGAAAGACGGAATCAAAGCACGCACATCAACAGCACAAAATGCTCAAAATTGGGTGGTCGACAAAAAATAAATAAAATAAAAAAAAACAAACAAAGGTCGGCACACCATAGGCACCAAAAAGGTCATGTGACTCATGATTAATCACCTGTGAGTATAAAGGCGTTTGAAATAATTTTTTATTGTCTGACAAAGAGCCTGTTAGATCGAAACGTTACCTTGTGTGAAGTCCAGTATTAAATTGTTTTGCAGTTTTGTAGCCTATGGTGTGCCGACTGTTGTTTTTTCTAAATTACTAAATGGAAATTAAAAAAACTAAAACTAAAACTTTAATATAAATAAGTGAACGAAACCTAAATAATATTTAAATAATAATAATAATACATAACAAATTTACTAAACACATTCACTAAAAAATAACAAAAAATAAAATGAAAATATAAAAATTTAAAATAAATATCAAAAATATTACTAAAACTATAATAGTATATAAAAATACAAAATAACACCGCATTGTAGAGGGATAGACAGAAATATGTAAAATTTCTGCCATCATTTTCTCACCTTCATAATGTTCCAAACTTGTAGGACTTACTTTCTTCAGTTGACTATAAAAGAAGATAATTTGAGGAACAACATTGGACCCATTGACTTTCATTATATGGACAAAACCATGTTCAGACTTTTTTATTTTTCAAAATATCTTTTACATTTTTACATTTATTTAACCCAAAGGAACTTTAAAGCATACATTTGATCAGTGTGCCCCCTGTTAATTGAAACCATTGCTAAATAGTAAATTTTTAAAAAATAGTTAAATTTAAACCCCCCCATTTTCTTATTTCTGTTCAGCATTTTCATCTTGGACAGCTTTATGCACAGTTATCAGTAGTTAGTGTGCTAATGTTGACTTTCAGCAGTGTTGAAAACGTCTGTTGGTTTGAAGTTTGAGACAAGCAAAGATGTTCGCTTATCACAGAGTAAGGATGCTGGCACTGTGCAAACCATCATGCATAGAATTCTGGCACAGTTTTGTGCTCTGCTCAGTTTCACCATCTGCCAATTAACAAGGCTAATTGTGCCTATGTTATTTTAAATTGGCGGTTTTGTTTTACTCTGTACTGACCGCCAATTTGTCACCCTTTTAGGTCTGGGCACTATGGGGAGAGGCATTGTTGTGTCTCTGGCACGTGTGGGAATTTCTGTCATTGCTGTAGAGTCAGAAAAGAAACTCTTGGAGACTGGCAAGCAGATGGTGATTGGCATGCTGGAGAGAGATGCCAAAAGACGGGGAGTGAGTGCCTCTCTCAATCTCCTCAAATTCACCCTCAGCTTACAGGACCTGAAGGATGTGGACCTTGTTATTGAAGCCGTCTTTGAAGACATGGCACTTAAGAAGCGTGTTTTCCAAGAATTGTCCAAGGTTTGTAGACCAGCCACTCTACTCTGCACCAACACCTCTGGTCTGGATGTGGATGCGCTGGCTGGTGTGACGGACAGACCGCACCTGGTGGTTGGGATGCACTTCTTCTCACCTGCACATGTCATGAAGCTCCTAGAAGTTGTCTGCGGGCCTCGTTCCTCAAGTGAAACCATCGCTACAGCAATGATCCTTGGGAAGAGGATGGGAAAAGTAAGTGTCGCTGTTGGAAACTGCCCTGGTTTTGTTGGAAACCGCATGCTAAAGCCTTACCTGGATCAAGCCACCTTCCTGCTGGAGGAGGGAGCCACACCTGAACAAATCGACAAGGCTCTGGAGGACTTTGGTTTTGCGATGGGAGTCTTTAGGATGTCTGATCTTGCAGGCCTTGATGTTGGTTGGAGAGTCCGGAAGGAATCTGGGTTGACCGGTCCTGACGTTGACCCAAAAAATCCCCCACGCAGGCGCCAAGGGCGTAGGTACTGTCCCATTCCAGACATGGTCTGTGAGCAAGGCAGGTTTGGCCAGAAGACAGGTCGTGGTTGGTACATGTACGACAAACCTGGAGGCACAAACGCAAAGCCTGACCCACTTATCCAGAACCTCCTCGAGATGTACAGGAGCAGGTACGGCATTCAACCACGCAATATCTCAGATCAAGAAATAATTGAGAGATGCCTTTTTGCCTTGGCCAACGAGGGCTTCCGTATCCTGGAAGATGGCATAGCTGCCCGACCCGAGGATATTGATGTCATCTATCTGTTTGGTTATGGCTTTCCAAGGCATGGAGGTGGGCCCATGTTCTATGCCAGCATGGTGGGCCTGGAAAGAGTGCTGGAGAGGTTGGAGCATTACCACCAAGCCCATCCTGATGTGCCTCATCTGGAGCCCAGTCCACTTTTGAAAAAACTTGTGGCTTGTGGCAGTCCTCCAGTTCAAAAATGGAGAGAGCATATCAAAACAATGCACAGCCATCTCTGAATGCACAACATGCCAAATTTGTTCATTTGGAAACACTGCTGAAAGCTGTTATTAATAAAGAATTTACTTTCTCAACACTTAACCCGGTCTCATTGGCTCTCATTATGTCTCCCTGAAGAGGTTTTAATTTCCTGTTGTATTTTTAGCATTTCTTAGAAGCAGATGTCTTTAGTTTTGGCAGAAAGCCAAGTAAATCCAAACAAATTACCTAGTTTCATTTTTGCACAGCTTTGGTCTCATGGCCCATTGGTGTTTTATTTACCCTGCTGTAAAAATGCATTAGAAAAGTGGCATTTTATCTTTTAAAGGATTCATGGTTGAGAGAGTTCTCAGATGCTTGCAGCTGCCCATACACATTCACAACAACTTGATTTAATGTTTTTGAAAGAAGTCTCTTTTATGCTCACTAAGACTTGATTTATTGGATCAAAAATACAGAAAAAAAATTGTTACAATTTAAAATAACTGCTTTAGATTTTAATATATTTTATATAATTTATTTCTTTGATGGCAAAGCTGAATTTTCAGCACCCATCATCAGTTATCAGTCTCACATGATTTTCAGAAATCATTCTAATATGCTGATTTGATGCTCAAGAAGCATTTCTTATCAATGTTGTGAATAGTTGTGCTGCTTAACAGTTGTCAACTTATATACTTATTAGATACTTTTTCAGGATTTACAATGAAGTTCAAAAGAACAGAATTTATTTGATTTGTGACATTATAAATGTCTTTAATACTACGTATACCATAATGTTCTGAACGATTAGCATTTTCCTATACCATGGTAGATACAATATACATGTAGTTTTTGAAAAAAAAAGGTTTGTTTTACAGTCAAATAATTTTTAGGTTACAGTATTATTTTTCCAACTATATGATGGCAGCAGATTGTAGTACGGTACCTTAATACTATGTATACCATAATGTTCTGAATGATTAGCATTTTCCTATACCATGGTAGATTCAAAAACTACATGTATATTGTAAGTGAAAACAATTATATTCAGATCGATAATATAACATGTATATCGATATTAAATAAATACAATACTGTTCAAAGGTTTGGGCTTAGTAAGATTTTGTGTTTTTGAAAGCCTCATGCTCACCAAGGCTGCATATGTCATAAAAGTACAGTAAAACGATGCCAGAAAGCAGTTATGCGAGAAAACAGGCAAATTATACCTAAAACACCAACTCTTCAATCAAGCAATTCTTTTTATTTGAGGAGGTGGAGGTGGGGGAGAGACAATCTTTCTAAACTGTTTGAGCAAAGAGGGAAAAACCATGCCATATGAATAAAGCACTGAATTGAAAAGATCTCCAGTAAGTGTTATGCAAAATTCCCATGACCATTTCAATGACCACATCCCCGACCATTACCTTGACTGCTTCCCTGGCCCTGGCCGCTTCCCTGGCCAGAACCACTACCCTGACTGCTTCCCTGACCATAACCGCTTCCCTGACCGCTGCCCTGACCAGAACCGCTTCCCTGACCGCTGCCCTGACCACTGCCCCATCCGCTTCCCTGACCAGAACCGCTTCCCTGACCACTGCCCTGGCC